ACAAGGTTTACATAATCAACAAAGCAATCAAAGACTTGGTATTTGCTCTTAATGCAATATACCTTTGATAATTTGCTATAGTCATCAATGAATGACAAGAAATACTTTTCTCCATTATAACCAGTAGTTGAATGTGGCCCATTTAGATCTGAATGAACAATCTCCAAAATATCTTGGGCTTTGGTTCTGTTATTTTTAAAGGGCTTGTTATGCATTTTATTATCTAGAAAAATGGCGCATTTCATGAATTGACTTTCAACACGGGGAGCAGCACCCTCAAGTAAATTACCTTTCAACATTTCATCTAAACAGCTAAAATTAACATGACCAAGTGTACGGTGCCATCTTTCTTTAACGGACATATTTAATACAATTTTACCTGTGAAAACCTGAGAATCCACTGGCTTTCTAATTACTACACTGTTCTATTTGTACAGACTACCCTCTTTAATTGCAATCGCTACGAGTTCTCCCATTGGGTTGTGAATTCTAGAGGTATCTCCTTTAGATACAATTTTATTTCTTTCTGTTACTTTGGAATAACTTATTAAATTCGCCTTCATGTCTTTCACGTAAAATACATTTGCTAGGTTAATTGGAATATTGTGACCATTTAAATTGAACATTGCCTCAACTGTACCTATTTTAGTTGCCATTAAGATTCTTCCATCACCAATTCTAACCTCAACTGGGTTATTCAATGTTACATACTCATTGAAATACTTGTCATCGTTCACAATATGGTCCGTGCAACCACTACCTAATAACCATAAAATTTGACTATCGTGACTTAAATGATCACCTTCTGGGGTAGATTCCGTAGAATTTACCTCTACGTTGAAACTGTTAGCACTGACATACGCTTCAGTTTGATTATTGAGTCGTCACCTCGGTTGTTCTGCCAGTTTCCAGGGCGATATCCTCTACCACCTCGATATGCACTACTGCGGCCTCTCTGATGTCCTCTTGACCACTGTCTTCCTCTAGAGTATCCACCTCTACCTTGACCTCTGGGGTAACCTCCTCTTCGCCGGTTTCCTTGATTCCACCCTCGCTGATGATGATCACCTCTGGATTGACTTCGTTGATTCCTTCGGACACAGTCTCGCTGATAATGATCCGGGCTATTACAGTTCCAGCACGCTCCTCTAGTCTCTGCTACAAAGGCATTTGCACCTTTTGATTCGTCATTCAAGTTCTTCTTTAGATTTTCTGACAAGGAAATCTTGGTTTTTACGTACTCGACCGTTTTCTCTTCCTACTTCAATACATCTATCAGGTCACCAATGTGACTATAAGATTCTGGCAAAGTCCGTAACATAAAGTTTAGTTTCTCCTGTTCGGTTATTTTTGCTCCGGCCGCTTTAAGTTCGTTAACCGCTTTTTCGAATTCATTGAAAAAGCTAGCTGTATCCGAAAATTGATTTAGGCGGATGTTCTCGATGCGATTCCTACAGACGATTTGTAATGCTGTTGATTCTTTTGAATACATTTCGTCGAACTTTCTCATAATCATATACGCACATTCTAGGTCATTGATTAATTCCACTTGTTTGTTGCTAATCGCACTATACATGTAATTTGTAGCTTTAACATCTATTGTTGCCCAGTCCTCGTCTTTGTCAGACTCTGTTTTGCTTCGAATAGCAACCGTCGCGCACTTTTTGAATTGTGAGAATTTCAAAATCCTTTTTTTCCAATTACTGTAATTTTCCCCGTCAAAAATGGGAATGGTTACATCGTCCGACCGCATAAACGACGTATTTGACACGATTTTCACTCACGAACGCCACGAGGTTTTCTTGATCAGTAGGTACGACGCGCTAACGCACACGACCTTCTCGGTTTCACTTTCAGACTTTCACTAACTTTAGACTTCATATTTGACGAGCACATTTTGAACACCAACCAAGCTCTACTGCCATGAAGGGAAACTAATTTGTAGCACAATATAATACAAGTTGAGATTCATAGCGAGGATTCTTTAATTAAACGCTTGTAGTCTTTCACATTGTTACATAGAATGATAGAACGTACAAGAGGGGTGTTTACACCGACACACATTTGCGCAAGCGCCATATTGAAGTACGTCATTATTCATCATTCAACATGTTCAACCAAAATTTGAGAGAAAAAAATTCAAAATTATGTTTTTGCTACTTTACTCAACTTCCTGAGCATTTCTAAAGTTCCCTTTGACAGTTTACCACGTGCGTGTAAAGGGACTTAAGGAGATTCATAAGTTTTTAGGGTTCAATCCTGAATTCTGAGTGTTAAATGAAATTTCATGGAATATCCTCATGAACTTTCTTTTTATAATCTTTCACAAAATTTCTTAACTCTGATCTTATTTTAAAAAATTGTATGCGAGGAGAGTATTATGGAACTTGCGGAATCTGATTTCATAATAAAAAGGATAGCACAACTTTCCCATACGGTTCAAATCCTCCGCGTAATTACGATCCAAACATCCTAACTGCGCGCGCATCAGAGCCTCACTTTTGGTCACCTCATGTCTCCCGTGTGTGGCACCCCCAACCCGAGTGGTGGCCGAGTCGTCGAAGGCGTCAGTATCGCCCACATTTTTCAGGATGAGGGTTCGATTCCCTGACTCCTCAGCTGCTATTAACTATGACCGGATTACCATTATTCGATGTTTTACTGCAATGTTTCATTAATCAGTCATTGCAAAACGCGTTATTTTGACTTCAAACATTTTTCGTTTTCTTTATTCATCGAAAACAAAAATTATTTCATTCTAAAAGTAAAGTATACCTCATGTCGTAATTTTTTTTAGGGGAAGAATAAAACCAACATAGATAGGAGGGTAAAAATAGGGCCGCGAAGCGGCCCATTAATGGTGCAAAGCGTCTTCAGGGGGCGTAGCCCCCTAGTAATCAAATATGGAACGAGGAGGGTTCACACTTTTCTGCTACTCCTTCGGCTGTAGATATAGACAAGAAACTAATTTGCAAATATTAAGGTGATTCGATGGACGCCATACTTTGTCAGAACGGCATTCGATATATCGACTCGATTGGCTCTATTTTTTCAGTTACTCGCCATTTTTCTCCGATTTTGAGATCGCAATTCGGTTGTCAGGAGACTAAAGCACTCACCAATTGAAACAAAGAAATTAAAAATCAGTGAACATTGTAATGCAATGTCTGAAGGTAGTAGCACTAAATATATTGGATATATATATATAACTGGATTGTAGACTAAATATATTGGAGTTTGGATATCTAATAGCTTGTTATCAATTGTTACCATCAATGAAATGTGTTACCTTCTTTGAAATTTAAATTATGGCCTTTGTGATATTGATTTTGTGACCCTGACGATGAAGCGTTCGCTTCGAAAAGCTTCGGTATAAAATTGTTAATAAAATGTAAGTGTTTTTTCTTTTCAAAACATTTTTGCATTATTTCTAGCACTCGGCTACAATCCAAACTCCAAAGAAATTCAACGTAATACAGGCGTGGTTTTTTTAGAGTGCGTTCGAGTGCAGTTTCGATATCAGTATCGAATGCGATGTTTTCTCTCTAAAAAAAACCACGCCTTTATTACGTTGAATTTCTTTGTTAAAATTGGTAGGTGAGTGCTTTAGTCTCCTGACAACAGAATTGCGATCTCAAAATTGGAGAAAAATGACGAGTAGCTGAAAAAATGGAGCCTATTGATGCGATATATCGAATGCCGTCGTGACACAAAATATGGCGTCCATCGAATCACCTTGAGATATATCTGGAAATATCCACAATCTGAAAATTTTAGAAAACCTGCCTTCGTGAGAAAAATTGTGGAGAGCTTCCCACAATTTCTGAATCTAAAATTATCATGATGAAAGGCCTTCCACAATCGCCTGTAAGAAATTGAGAAGGGCCTTCCGCAATCCTCCATGAAAAACTCTTGGGTGGCCGTCTACAATTTTACGGTAAACTTTGTGGAAACCCTTTCTTCATTCCTGAATATTTCGGCAGAACTTGTGAAAATCCTTCCTCAGTTCTCATAGCGTGGGAAATTATGCAGGGTGTTCTATATTCTGTAGAAAATTGTGGAAACCCTACCATACTATTTCGGTAAGAATTGTGGAAACCCTTCTAACTTTGTGAAAAATTGTGGAAAGCCTTCCACAATATATCCGAAAAAATTGTGGAAACCGGAAACGGAAACCCATCCACGATATTTCGGCCACACTTGTGAATACTCTTCCACACAATTTTGGTCCAAATTATGGAAACCTATCCACCATATTTCCGTAAAAATTGTGGAAACCCTGCCACAATAATTCGGTACAAATTGTGGAAACCCTTCCACAATAATTCGGTACAAATTCTGGAAACCCTTCCACACTTTGTGAAAAATTGTCGAAAGCCTTCCATAATAATTTGGTAAAAACTGTGGAGACTGTTCCCGAAGATTTTGGTGAAAATTAAGAAAACCCTTCCACAATGTTTCGGTACCTAAAAAAATATGAGATTCGAAGTGAAGAAAGAGAAAAGAAAAGAAAGAAAGGAAGGAAAAAAAATCCACAAAATTTGGGACGCTTCCACATTTTCACGCGATACTTTATCGCGCGATCGCGCTTCCGTAAATCGGGACGGCTTTCCACAATTTCACGCGATAGACTATCGCGTGATCTAGTATATTGTGCATCCCTGCCTAGGATTGAAGGATCTTGTAGATTGTGCATCCTTGAATGGTCTACAGAAATTGAAAGTTGAGACTTTGATGTCAGAGTGTAGAGAAGTGTTTCACGAACAAAGGGGGGGGGGTGGCATGGCGATTTGACTTTTTCATTTAAGGCTGAATAAAAAAGTGGTAGAAGAGAAAAATCGAGATTTTGACTTCGCACCTACTTCTGACAGAGATCCTCTCAGCCCATAGAGTAATTGAGACCTGCCTACTACTATTGTTTCAACTATGTATATATTATTTTCGTAATATAGTTGTACAATTTCTGAATAGTTAGTAAATATATTTTTATTATGTTTCAGTCTAATCATAGCCCTGCTTGGTAATTACTTGTCTCAGCGCATAACCAGGGGAAAGCAGATTGATCATAATAGTCTCATTGCCTATGGATTTTTTGGGTATGTTGCACTAGTCTGTAAATTTAGCGTCTGGATCATGAATTTTTCCCCCCTAGATTTTTGTTTGTGGTACCAACAACCCCTCCTCAAGTATTGGCGTTGCAGGCAGCCATGTGGAAACCATTTCTCATTGGCTCCCATTTTAGGCTTCATGGATGTTACTAATGGGTAGAATTATTACACTTTCATCAGTTGCAAAAATTATGAACTAGAATGGACAAGGGAACTAGGGCCTTGTCTGGGAACGAACAGAATAAGAGATGGAATTTTGGGAAAGAATCTAAGAAGGAGTTAATCAAAAATTCAGATAAACGCCATGAACTGTGTGGCTCCTCTCTGGAGACTTAAAAGAAGCTCATGAATGTACCTACTTGTTAACTGTCAAAGATCGTCGACCAGACGATCCGTAAAAGTAATTTATACACTTGGGATTCATCATAGATCAGATCTTAAGATTTTCAAAGAAGCTTATGCAGGCTTAGCCGAGAACTTAAAGAATTATGTCGTGCGATTTACTTAGAGAAAAGCCTGTGTAATCTTCCTGACCGTTTGTGACATCTAAGACCCGATATGGCGTGACTTTCCCCGAATAAGGACTCGAGGTTGGCCCAAATCTCAGACTTAACGCTCCGATATTTATAGCATGTATATGTATAAGCCGCTTTTACGGCGCGCTAGGGCGCTCTGCGACGCGTACTCTCCACAGGAATCTGTCATGGTAGAGATCCCCCGGAAGCTGGCATCTCTTTATCTCTTCACGGATGCCCTCTACCCACCGTTTGGCTGGACGCCCTCTCCGTCGCCTACCTGGGGGAACCCACGCCAACACCTTCTTTGGCAACCTGGTATCAGCCATTCTCTGCACATGCCCATACCATACCAATTGCTTGGTCATGATATCGTGCACGATCGTCCCCTCAACGCCCATTATCTCTCGGACACGCTCATTCCTGACACGTTCTCTCCTCGAGATTCCAGCCGATCTTCGCCAGAAATCCATCTCGGTTGCCTTGAGCAATTCTTGGGTCCGCTTCCTCAACTGCCACACTTCACTGCCATAGGTGATTATAGGCTTGACAACTGAGTTAAAAATCCGCTTTTTGTTGTCCTTGGAAAGCCTTTGGTCCCAAAGAATCCCATGAAGCATGGCGATGGCTTTCCTTCCTTGAAGATTACGGTCCCGAATGGCCTGATCCAACTTCCCATCCGAAGTCAGCTTCACCCCCAGGTACTTGTATTGTTTGCAACTTTCTATATGTTGACCATCCTCCAGGACTATGCTTTGCTGAGCACCCCCGACTAACATCTTCTTTGTCTCACGGGCACTAACCTCGAGGCCCCACTTGCGGTACTCCTCGACCAACTTCCGGGTCATATACTCCGCGTCATCGTGATCTTGACTTATGACTACCTGGTCGTCAGCAAAGCATGGCGTGAACAGTGTTTCTTGGTCCTTCAGAGGGACGCCCATTCTGGCACACTTTCTTTTCCATTCCTTCAGAACGTGCTCTAGATATATCTTAAATAGCGTCGGTGACAGACAACATCCCTGCCTAAGCCCCTTGGTGACAAAAAACCGTCTGAAAGCCTTCCTTGGCACTTGATTCTAGCAAAAGCCCCCCGATAAAACTGCTTGACTGCCCCAATAAGTCCTTTATTAAAACCAGTTTCTTCTAGGACCTCCCAAAGTTTCAAAAGAGGAATACCATCATACGCCTTTTCAATATCCAAAAACACTAAATGAAGCTCATGGCCAACAATTCTCTTCTTTCCGGTTCGGTTCGACCGACCAGCCCTAAAACCTGCTTGCTCTTCCGCCTCGAACGGGGTCCACTCCTCTTCGATCTTCGCTTTCAACATTTTTCCATAAATTTTACTTATTGTTCCTGTCACCGCTAACCCTCTGTAGTTCCCACAGTCATCCTTCCTTCCTTTTTTATGCGACGCTGTTTTCCAGGCCTCTCTCCATTCTTCCGGGATGTTATCACCATCAATGCACTTCTGCAGCAAATCCCTGAGATCGTTAACCAACTTGCCAGTCCCACATTTAATTAACTCGGCTGGAATATTCTCTGGCCCAGGAGATCTTCCATTCATCAATTCCCTAATTGCTTTGACCACCTCCTCAACTTGAATTTCTATCGAGTGATCTTTTACTGTATTTTCATCATTCCCCGTTTGAAACTCTGGTCGTCCTACCGTCAATAATTTATTAAAATGTTCGTCAAGCTGCGAGATTGTTATCGAAGATAAAATGTCCCGTTTCATGTCCCTTCCTAGGCCTTTGATCAGCTTCCAGCTCTCAGTACTCTTCCTTCCCCCCAGGTATGTGTCAATCCTTGAGCAGTTGTTCTCCCAAGACTCGTTTTTCCTCCTGCTTATTAAAAGACGAACCCTCGCCTGGGCTTTCCTATACGCGCCGCGGGTGTCTGCAGTCCTGGAAGCCAAATAGTCATGGTACTTCCTACGCTTTTCTTCAATTACCTCCTCTACCTCTTTGTTCCACCAGTAGGGTTTCCGTACATCCTTGCTCTCATTACACATACCCAGGGCTTCCTTCGCAGCTGAATGTATACAACTTTTGATGAACTGGTACAACTCTTCTGCAGTATCGAAAGTTTCTACTCCCAGTTTCTCATCCAGCCGCTTCCTGTAGAGCGCTTTCACGCTTTCATTCTATTTTTAGTTCCAACTTCGAAACTGACTACTCCTACCCTCAGTAGTATTGTAGCCGATTGCAAACTCAACATTTTGCACCTAATCAAAGTTTGCTTTTTCAGGAGCAATTTGATAGTTTGTGGAGCTTGTGTATGTTTGGAAGTTTTTTGATGAAAAATAATTTTGAGGATGTTCTGGAAGTATGTTAAACCACTGAATGAAGTCCCCTTTTATCAGGACGTTATCTTTGTGCTCTCTGATATCATTTCTCCTGCCACTACAACGAGACAAAAAAGTTCTTATTTTAAAGTATAATAGTTTTTCACAATCATTAGGAAGAGGAATCACCGTTACAAATTAAAATTTATTGCATTTTTGGAGTGGAAAACCTTTCTTGATATTTTTGCATTTTCAACCCGTCGAGGTCAGCAACAGGTACCAGTGGACGACTGCATACATTACTTTTGGATGGCGTTAGACGCCGGCGCATAACATGTGAATATTGGATTGCGGGTGAACAGATAGATATCTGTTCACTGAAAAGTTATGATTTCATAACTTCACTAAATATCCACGAAAAATTTTGTGTAGCTATAATTCAAACTGGTATGTAATATTTCATCCTAGTTCAAAAATGAGTCGAAGCTTTATTTGGGAATGCTGTAAGGTGTTCCGGCCTAATAGTGTGCCATGTGCCATCTAATGATTGCTTTCGTCAAAAAGCACTTTTGTCACCAATGTGTAATTTTATTTTTATCCTTCAAGAAATTTAGTTACCTCAATAAAGTATTAACCTGTCAATTTTTAGAGAAGTTCATTCCTTACTGTTTGAATGAATTCCTACACGTCTTTTGCATGATTGTTTCAGACTCACTTTTGGCTGGTCAGGGCCTCATTTGCTGTTCAGCTGGCTTGAGTCTGCCATACCTCGAAAACAGAATTTCAGCCTGCTAAAACGTTTTGCTTTTGAGAGACTAGTTTACACACCTTTCTTTCAGTTTCTGGTGCTCTTTACGCTTTCAATATATGAGGTAAGGAGCTTATACCATAGAGGTTAAAGATACCTACGTAAATCATTCAGAATAGTGAAAAAGCTTTAAAAACATTGACAGCCTGATTTTGGCAGTCATTGTTGTAGTACGTGGGGTACAATCGAATAGTGGCCAAAACCCTGCACTTTTTGATTGGAAATTGCCGCTTTCAGGGATCATTCTCAAAATCATAAGAAGCTCTTTTAGGAGGGGAAGCACCCTGGGCCTGGGGTCTGTGCAGGACCCAAGACGGCGGCCGTTATAGATGGCCGCCGAGCGCTTTTTCAGTGCGCTATATCTCGGAAATTACGTGTCCGATTTTCGTTTTCTTGGTCTAGTTTTGAAGCTACAATGCTTCTACAGAAGTCTACTTCATAAATATTTTCGTCTAAGGCACACATAAATGATCATAAGGAAAAGTTCAACATTTCGAAATTTCACCCCAAGAGCCTCCCAAAATTTGGCCCCTTCTTAGGTATTCGACTCGACCATCGGACCAAGGTTTAAATGGAAGCTTATATCAACAGAAAACTCAGGAAAAATTTCAAGATGAGTATAGGAACCGTTTTCGAGTTACGGGGGGCACTGGGGTCACAATCCGGCGTAATATTTTGCTGTATCATGTAGAATTGATGTATCGGCGGGGTTCTTACCGTTGTTTACGCATGTGTAGCACATGGATTCCTACGTGTTTTTACACGTAGAATCGATTTTTAACGTTGTCGAATCGATATACTGATCAGTTAAATCAATTTTGAACGATTTTTTAAGGAAAATCGATGATTTTTCAGGATCGAAATTGTTTATTTTCGATTCATGAATGAATAAATGCACCTGAAATGACTAAAGCACATGTAACCCTATGTATTTTGACAGGGAAAATTGATTTTTAACGTTGACGAGTCGATCTATCTATCGTTTGTATCGAATTTTTGCGATTTTTTACGGAAAATCGATGACTTTTCGGAATTAAAATCGAGTTTGCTCCATCCGAGATCGGAGATATGTACCCAACATGAATGGAGCACATTGACTCTTACGTATTTTTATACGTGAAATCGATTTATAACCTCGATAAGTCGATATATCGATCAATTGTATTGAATTTTTGCGATTTTTTGCGGAAAATCGATGGTTTATCGGGATTGAGATAGGTGTCTCTCCATCCAAGATCGGAGAAATGTACCCTTCATGATTGGAGCACATCAATTCTTACGTATTTCTACACGTAGAATCAATTTTAAACGTCGAAGAGTCGATATATCGATCTGACATACACAACTCTTGCGATTTTTTATGGATATTCGATGGTTCTTTTGAATTGACATTGGAAAAATCTACCAGACATAACTGGACCACATCGATTCGTTTGTGAGTATTCTCGCAAAATCAATTTTTGAAGTCGACGAGTCGATATATTGACTGCTCATATTGACTTCTTGTGATTTTTATGGAAATCGATGTTTTGACAGGAATGAAATTGGTTACTTACGGTCCGAGGGTAGAGATATGCACCCAGCATGGTCGGAGCACGCCGTTTCCACGTATTTTTACATATAGAATCATTTTTAAGGTTGACGAGTCGGTTTGGCGATCGGATAAATCAATTTTTGTGATTTACGGAAATCCGATGGTTTCTTGAAGTTGAAATAATTTTGATTTTAATCAAAATGGGAATGAAGGAATGCACCTGACAAGACTACATTTTCTGTTCCTTGATTAAATTCATTTATACCTTTGTCATTGCCTGACTGTCATTGTCATCAATGTCATCAGCATAAGCAAGGCCAGATTATTTCGGCTCCCGTATACCACCGGAGAATCATGGGAGCGTTGAAGCCCCCACCCCTCCTTCCCCCTACAGTTCAAATGGGGTTCAAATCGCCTTTTACTGAAATTTTTTCAAAGGACCCCGCACACCTCTTATGGGAAGCTGCACCATGAAGAATTGCCTTCTGACTCATGTATTTCAATTCTCCTCAAGATGCTGATCAAAAGTTATAATTGCGCCAACTTTCTACGATGCACCGTTTTCGCAAAAAACATATGAGAAGATTCAATTATTCGGTGATAAAAAGCCAGAAAGATTTCTCATTTCAGTGCTCGATTGACAAGAGGCTGTGTGTCAACAAGGAAATCATGGGGACTCCCGCACCGAGCGGCAGTCTTATCTGGGATTCCGCACGCCGTTTTGCTCGACCACCATCCAAATCAGATTCTTGAAGAGCATAAGAACAGGAAAGTCTGAACGTCTACCGGGCGAGTGCGGGAGGGAGATAGCCCCTGAGTCGGCAGGTACAGATAAGAAGACGGACACATGCTACTTTTTTTCCTTATTCACATCGGGCCTGTTCTCAAATGCTTTGTTCTTTTTTATTCATAGTCGCCGAATAATTGAATCTTCTCATAGGTTTTTAGCGAAAACGGTGCATCGTAGAAAGTTGGCGCAATTATAACTTTTGATCAGCATCTTGAGGAGAATCGAAATGCATAAGTCAGAAGGCAATTCTTCATGGTGCAGCTTCCCATAAGAGGTGTGCGGGGTCCTTTCAACTCTATTCGGACGAATTTCGAGGTTTCCGTGAGGCAAATTGTTTGTTGATTTCCGTACCATAATAACGGTGTTTTATGTATTCTCAGCTTAAAATGCTCTCGCATTCTTGGATTTAAAGATGTTCTATTTATTTGCTCAGCTTTGACCTCTCTTGTTTGTGAAAAATCGCATGAAAAAATTGGGAGAAATGCTAGAACAATCGTATTTCATCAGTGAAAGCCTATACCAAGTAAAATTTGCTAATTAACATGACTTTATGAACGAATTGAGTTTTTAATCTTCTCAAAAACACGTAAATTGGGAAAAATATGGTGCCATCTTGATTCTTTTGAAATATGTAATCGAATAAAGAAAAAAAATACACCAACTGAATGAGCAAGGGGTTCTTATTACAGCCTATGTGCCATAAAAAGGATAAATTCCATTTACAATATTTCTGATTATGTTTCACTTTCTGATTTCGTGGTCGATATGAAGTAAATGAATAATTTAAATGGGGTAAAATTAATGGTTTCTAGTTAATATTCCTTCAGTTTGACAAAAAAGGAGGATTCACGGGCCTCTGCATGTGGCAGCGGCGTAACTTAGACGAATTTTTGCTCCGCCAAACAGCGCTGCTGAGGAGGGCGAGATAATACTAATTTCGATTCCAAGGGAGCCAAGCCGTCCATACATTCCGCAAAAATTACGGTCATGGTCATGAATAGAAACTTTAATGTAAAATGAGGGGGAAAAATTTGCCAATTAGGAAGAATATCAAAAAACATTCTATTACTTGTTAATATCTTTATAAATTATTGGAATCGGTGCAATTTTTTCGAAATGATGATGTACAAATATTTTCCACCTTCCCTCCGTTATTAAAGGCTCCCATTTATGTTAAGATATTATAAAATGAACCCATCGAAAATGGCTAGTAGATCTTTCTAACCATTTCATATCACGTGTTATTTCCGACAACAAATACCCCTAGGCCAAAAGAGAATACGCTTCCATGTTGATTTGTACGAATTTATGTCCCCCTTTCCCTCCATATATACCGACTATAAGATGAAAATTAATCCTGATAAACAAATTATGTTTTATGGGAGGTGAGATACCCTCCTTACATCGCGATTTATCGAAAACCTGTCTTAGAATCCAGAAAATCACGCAAGGTCGCGACCACTTAGGTTGTATAAGGCGCGGCGATCAATCGGGTCAAAACGTCTACCAGCGGAAAGTTCTTGCTACGGGGGTGCCCTCAAAATGGACCACTAGACAAGGTACGAATTTCAGCATTCTGATACATGTTTCTTCATCAAAATTTCACGTAAAACACGATGCGCACAACGAAAATTACCGACATCAACTCCTTCCGAAGATATTTAATGATTCTTAATGCGTGAATTCAAACCACCCGCTCATGAAAACTCAATGCTCTACGTGATTCACATCGCGCGCTAAACGTTATCATGAACGTCTCTGTGATAAAAAAATATGGCAACCTCTATTTTGACACTTTGGCTCAGCCATAGCAAATTACTTATAATTTGAAAAACACATGGTGGGAAATGAGCATTGCTCGATTGAGGAGCTTGCTGAAATCGTTGTAGTGCGCGATTTGACTCACGTAGAGCTTTGAGTTTCTTGTGAGCGGGCAGTTCAAATTCCTCGTAACCAATGTGAAATGAAAATGTTATTATCTCCGTTAGGAGTTGATTCCAGTAATTTTCGTTGCGCGAATCGTGTTCTACGTGAAATTCTGGTTAAGATACATGTATCAGAATGCTTGAATTCGTCCCTAGTCTAGTGGTCCATTGCACTCATGGATCTATTTATCATAGCACAAAAATAGTTATGGTATCATTTGAAACGTCAGAGAATGATCTTTCTATAAGATACGAGAGGAGGTTTGTTTCCTCACCTGATTCAAAATTATTTGTCGTTACAAATTTTGGAAAATTTGAAAATTTTCGGTTCCTTTGAAAAATGCCCGGAAAATTTGGAGGAAAACCGCAAGTATGTCCGTTAACCGACTTGTTAATTTTTGACATAGCCTCTAAACAAGACCAAAATAATGAAAATCGGACGAGAATGTGTCGAGATGTAGCGCGCGTATGGCTTGCGTAGCACATTAACTGCCTGTATTCCGTCGTTTTTACTGCGCACTGCGCACCGCGTACCGCGACGCAGCACTTAAATTGCTCTAGCGGGTGCATTTTTTGACGGAAAAAATTGTCTTGGTATCAAATTAAATGTGGGATAATTTCCCATCGCCGTTTCACAAGGCGAAATAGCCATTTTCTCGCGTGTTAAATAATTAAACGCTCTTTAAAGGGTGAAATTTCAAAATGTTGAACTTTTCCTTATGATCATTTATGTGTGCCTTAGACGAAAATATTAACGAAGTAGACTTCTGTAGAAGCATTGTAGCTTCAAAATGAGACCAAGAAAACGAAAATCGGACACGCAGTTTCCGAGATATAGCGCGCTGAAAAAACGCTCGGCGGCCATCTATAACGGTCGCCGTCTTGGGTCTTGCACAGACCCCAGGCCCAGGGTGCTTCCCCTCCTAAAAGAGCTTCTTATGATTTTGAGAATGATCCCTGAAAGCGGCAATTTCCAATCAAAAAGTGCAGGTTTTTGGCCACTATTCGATTGTAACGCATGTACAATTACTGGAACAATGACCCTTAATGGTTTAGTGAATGTTTAATTTTCTCAGAATTATTTCTTGTTTTATTTAACCAAAGTTATCCAAGTTGAGATTGCTCTGACAGAAATGAATTTAAATTGCAGATTTAAGTAATAAATCAAAATTACAGTCAAATTGATAGTAGTTAATAGACATGGATGTATTCAGGGAGATCCCAGGAAGGGAGAAGCAGACAGAAAAGTCTCCTCAATATCATCAGACTCTTGTGAAAAGTAAATACTGCCAACAATCACACACACACCCCCCCTCCCCAAATAAAAAAAAAAAAATCCGGGCCCTCGACAATCATAAATTAATGATGAAAAACATAATATGAATGTCATTCATTAAAATTCACATTATGATTTTAAAGATAGCTATTGTGTTTCAAAACCAGCATTGGCTTCTTTCTTGGAACTTTACATGAGTGGCTCTAAAAACATTGGCATAGGGAGTTTCCAATTACACCAGAAATTTTTCAAATTTTATCATGAGTTCAGCAGCTCTAACACATCTCTTAATCTCAGTTCAAAATTGCATGTGTTGTTACTCCCATCAAATACAGATATTATATCTCACCAGTTGATCTTGGCCTTTTAACTGCAAATGAATATGTTAGCGGCAAAACCCGATTCCAGGCAGAACTAGATTTGCCGAGGCAAAAATGTATTTTTCCGAGGCATCTAGTTTTGCCTGCGCAAAGTAGGCGAAACCAGTTCCGCTGGAGCGCTGTCAGTTTTGCCTGAACACGACCAGGCGAAACTAGTTTTGCCGGACCGAAAAAAAATGAAAAATAATAATTAAAAAAAAAATAAAGGATAGGGTAAAATAGGTAGTAACTTTACTAAAAATTTAAGAGCAGGGGGTCACTTTATTTATTACACATAGAAGTCTTATACTAAAAAATAAACGTAACAATTTATCTATTTATTGTTGCATGCGGAGCTGCCATGATATTTAGAGTTGCATAAAAGAAAATATTTAATATGATATGACACACTATAGACAACGTTCTTAGTTCGGCAACTTGGCACAAACGCGGCAATATCACTCATCGGAGCGTCCGAATCTTCTCAACAGTGGGAGAGACACTGATAATAGCTCAGCTGATCGGATTCCAGGTGCTCCCGACCTGACGGTGACAGACATAAAGTACATAGAGTCGTAATGTAAGTAGGTGAGCTGGTGCCACTTTTAAGCATTTTCCAGGTCCCAAATTCCGAGACTCCTGTGTGACGCCGGGTCACTTTTTCGATACATAATCGATTGTTTGCGATACACGGGTATCCGGCCATCCGATGTAAACAAAGAAGATAGGAATCACCACGTATTCCACACCGCCATTTTGGATCGAACATGTATCGAAAAAGTGACCCGAACTCGGCGCACACCGGGCTGGGAACTCGTTGAGCAGAACATGGCGCCAGCTCTCCCATTTACATTACGACTCTATGTACTCTATGGTGACAGATCCATGTCCCTCCCGAAATGTAAACAGTGTTACGTAATTCGGTCTCGCTCAGCATCGCCGAACACTCCGCTTGTACTTATCAATTTCAATTGGCAGGGCCAGTTTTGCCGGTTCCTTTCAGGCGGAACTAGTTTTGCCGGTTCATTTCCGGCGGAACTAGTTTTGCCGTGCCTCATTAGTTTTGCCTGAACATCATCAGGCGAAACTAGTTCCGCCTACACGGTCGGCTAGTTTTGCCTACGCAAAGCAGGCAAAACAGGTTTTGCCTAGGCAATTCTAGTTTTGCCGACGGAAAACAGGCAAAACAGGTTTTGCCTAGGCAAATCTAGTTCTGCCTGGAATCGGGTTCTGCCGCTAACAAATATAATTTTTACTGATAATAACTGATAATTGACTGAAACTGATAGTACTGATAATTTACTGATTTTTACTAATAATAATATAATATTATACTGATTGAGCATGTTTATTTGTAAGAGTGCTCTGGCAGCTGTCCATCAATAATCAACTCCTGAAATAGAAACTGTAAAATGATTTTAGAAATAAATATGCAACAACATTGTGTTCTTCAATATTTTATTACAGTTATCAGAGCCATGAATTATGGTAGTCTAAACATCTTTAATTACATTATACTGTTGTTCTTTTTTAGGGTAAATCTTATCAAGTCTCCTTAAAAAATGCTCAGACATTGTATTGCAAAGTATTGCAAGCAAATTTGAAGTATCTGTCCCTCTTGCAATTCATGAATCTTGCTTATGTTCCACCGATGGTAAGGATAGACACTTTTCTAAATTTTTGAATCTAACCTCAGGTCAGGGCAACCGCAATTCGGTGTGACTAATGAAAAGCTGCAAAGCATTAGGTAATGCCCAGAGTTTTTTTGCAGGAACTCTCTACTCGAGTCTCACATATGATGACGCAAATATTACTCTCATGATCGGATATTTCATCCATCAATCATTATCAGTTATAGCCATCAAGCCGTCCAAACTATTAATAATGATTGGTACTTTACATTGAATCTGTAAAAAATTTGATTAAGGCATAGAAATTGAATTTAAGTAAAATATCAACTGTCATCTACTTAGAAGAGGAAAGTTTTATGTTATTCTAATAGTGAGGTCAAAATAGCGAAAAAAGGGGGTCAACCCAGAATAAATTGCAACAAAAGGTTTTTTTGCGGGAATCTCTTGAGTTATACTACCGAAACAACACACTAAAAGTTCGACACAATCCGATGAATGGAAGGGGCGGAAATGGCCCCAAAACGCTAAATGCACCAAAAATGTTGCGTTTTTTTTTATATTTTTGCATTCCTTTAAAATAGTATTGGGTTTCTACGAAAAGAGCAAGAATTTTTTTGAAAGTACATTAAATTTGCTTTTTATGAGTGGTCGCACAACACTCTGCAATAATTCATTCTCTAGTTACAGGGAACAGAAAAGAGCAGAAATTCCGACAGTTTTATGAAAAATTGTGTTTTTCGGCAGTTATAATTTTTCACCAAAAATATTGAGTTTTTTCAGGAAAAACTTCGAACCTTTTTGAATGTAAATGCAATTTACGTTAAAACGAGTGCTCACACAATATAAGGAAATAATTTTACTTAAAGTCTAAATTTAAATTTCTATATTTTTAAATTACAGATTATCAATCTTATTCAGGTATATTTGGTATTTTGATCTATTTTACTTTAATACTTAACTTTTAAAGTTTTCTATTGTTTAATTCTGTAATTCAGGTTATCAAATAAATAAAGAAACAAACAATATTTAATTAAATTATCTGCTATATATTGTGTGATATATTGATTATATTGTGCGACGCTTCGTCACTGTGCAACTTGAAGTTGAAATGAGCCCATGATTTCGGTTATCTTTTGTGAATGACTCCTCGTCGGCTGTTATGTGCATTTCGCAATTGAACAATTAATTTTACACCCGAAATGAAAGAAATAATATTTAATTGAACATTTCACATTTAGAATGAGTGAGCTCTCACAGTTTTTGCGATCGGATGTTTCAAAATTTGAAGTAAAAAAAGCGAAATGCGAGACAATGCTCGGTTGCAAGATTGATTCCTGCTCTTCTTTTTCAAGGAACAGGAAGAATCCTGCTTTCGTTTTATCTTAGAAAGTCCCTGATTCGAGACGCTCGTCCTCAAACACAGTTGTTGCCATTATTTTCAGCAAATCTTTAGCCAATCCCGTCAACAAAACAAAAATAATTGCTCTGATAGGAAATCAATTGATATCAAATGAATATGAAGTTGTGAACACCAAAAAAGATGCTGATTTGGATATCGTTAAAGAAGGAGCCAAATCATGCTCTAAAATCGATACCTCAATCATGGGAGAAGACTCAGATCTCCTTGTTTTAATGTTAAACAACTATTCACCTAATTTTCGCCATCAGCTATACTTTAGAAGTGATATTCTAAGTCAAAAAGCACAACCAGCTATGTATAATATCAAAGATATTCTCAGTGCGATTGGCCCTGAATTAAAGAAACCTTTATTATTTCTCCATGCTTTCACCGGCTGCGACACAACGTCACTTATTTTTGGTGTGGGGAAACCTGCTGCTTCTCAATTGCTGCTAAAATGTGATGAATTTCAGAAGTGTGCTGCTGTATTTTACAGTCAGAATCAATCTTATGATGAAGTTGAAAGTTCTTGGAAAAAAGCAGTTGTTTGATTATGCGGAGGAAAAATAGATGAAACTTAAGAGGATCTTCGGTGTAGAATTTTCAAAACAAAAGTTACCACAGCAAAGACTTTTTTCAAACCGGAACAATTGCCTCCAACGTCTGCTGCAGTCAAGTAGCATGTGTATCGAGTTTACTTTCAGGTTCAAATTCGGATGGGCGCTGAAGATCTTGAAGCTTTCTTGTTGGGTTGGTTCGTATAAAAGATAAGGAGTACTTTCCTACTCGCACCGAGTTGACTCCTGCGCCTCAATCGATCCTCACAATCATTCGGTGTAAGTGTCAGAAAAATTGTGAGACCTCGCAATGTAGCTGTAAGGAGATGGGTGTGCCATGCACTGATCTTTGCAGTAATTGCCATCTTTTGGTGTGTGTGAATATGCCAGCGACAAGAGATATCTCTGAAATCAGCGATTCGGACTCTGACTAAATACATTCTTTCTTATAATCAGGTGTGTTACCTTTTCGTAAATTGTGCAGTTCTTACAAAATTAAAGTTTACCATTTTAGTAAGCACATAAGCTGAGTATCCGCTCCTTTGTTTAAAATTAAAATAAATAATACTATGAGCAAAAATGCCTGCTAATGTGTTTAAAATTCGTAGAGCCGCCTACTCTCTCTTTCCTATCTACACTGTCATTTGTATAATGACAGTGTAGATAGGAAAGAGAGAGTAGGCGGCTCTATGAATTTTAAACACATTAGCAGGCATTTTTGCTCATAGTATTATTTATTTTAATTTTAAACAAAGGAGCGGATACTCAGCTTATGTGCCGACCAGCCGCCATTTTGTCAAAAATGAACATTTTGACCTGCGGTTTGCGCCAAAAATTTTCTTTTTTTATTATCTTTCGAATGAGGTATCACAAGGGGGGGGTGCCATTTGAAAAAAAAAAGTTAGCCCCCGCCCCCCTTAAGGGGGGCCGCCCCCCAAAATTTTGGGGGGACCAAAAAGTTGCTACCTTAGACAGAGGAACATTCCCAAAATTTCAACCTTCTATCTCAATTTGGAAAAAAGTTACAGGGGTGGTCAGTGACCTTTGGATAACCCTGTATAAGAAATAGCTATGCTTGAAAATGAATGATGATAACAAACACGACTAAAAGATAACAATTTAGAGAAAATTCAAAAAACAATTAGAAATGACAATATATTTCCCATACCTCAAGTGATGGATTTCTTTGTTATCATTGTAACTCGTCAGATAAGTCTTACATTCCTGCCAATGTCAAAGGAGCTATCAATATCAATTCGCAAAAGCTGTAAAAGCTCACTTATTCTAGATGTGAATTGTTCTTTTAAATATTATTTTTTTCATTTCGGGTGTAAAATTAATTGTTCAATTTACGAAAAAAACGATTTTTTCGTAAAATTGTCGGAATTCCTGCTCTTTTCTGTTCCTCGCAACTAGAGAACGAATTATCGCAGAGTGCGACCACTGATTTTAAAGCAAATTTAATGTACGAGGGTCATCCAAAAAGTGAGGTTCCCTACCTTGTATCTTCCGAACGAAAAGAGATAAATCAAATCGGTAAAGAGGCACATATTACGCATACTCTAAGCTTTAAAACAAGCTCAAGTTTTTGAAAATCGGTTAAGGGGTTTGCGAGTTAACTTAATTTTACTGAGACAACCTCCTGTCGCCGCGTGCGCACCTCCGGGGTCAGGATGCGTGGAGATTCGATTATTGAAGACTTGGGATATCGCCTCTATGCATCACATCAACAAGGAATTTTAAAGTTTTCATTAAGTAGGCCATACCTTACTTTTTGACGTAGTCTCCACATCTTTTTTGACATTTCTGGTATCATCATAGCAGCTTCTTGATGCCTTCCGTGTAGAAGCTTTCGCCTTGACTCTGAAACCAGTAATTGACAGCGATCTGTACCTCTGATCCTCTGAATCGGTTGAAAATCGCTTCCATCGTGGAAGGTTTTTCCGCTCGGGAACAAATAAAAGTCACATGAAGCTAAAGTAAGAGAGTTTGAAGGTTTGGGGGAAAATTTCCAAGCAAAGCAACTGATTTGGAGGTGAAGATCGCTTCAATGACTGGTTTCGGAGCCGAGGCGAGAGCTTCTGCCTGGAGGGCATCAAGAAGCTGCTGTAATGATACCAGAAATGTCAAAAAAGATGTGGAGACTACGTCAAAAAGTAAGGTATGGCCTACTTAATGACAACTTTAAAATTCCTTGTTGATGTGATGTGTAGAGGCGATATCCCGAGTCTTCAATAATCATCGACTCCCCGCGCATCCTGACCCGAGAGGTGCGCACGCGGTGACAGGAGGTTGTCTCAGTAAAATTGAGTTAACTCGCGAACCCCTCAACCGATTTTCAAAAACTTGAGCTTGTTTTAAAGCTTAGAGTATGCCTAATATGTGCCTCCTTACCGATTTGATTTATCTCTCTTCGTTCGAAGATACAAGGTAGGGAACCTTACTTTTTGGATGACCCTCGTACTTTCAACAAATTTCTTGCACTTTTTGCAGAAGCCCGATACTTTTCTTCAAAAATGCATTTAAAAAAAATGCAAATTTTTTTAGTGTATCTTAGCATTTTGGGGCCATTTTGCCCCCCTTCCGGTCATCGGATCGTGTCGAACTTTTAGTGTGTTGTTTAGGTAGTGTAACTCGAGAGATTCCCGCAAAAAACCCTATTGTTGAAATTTATTCCGGGTCACATGCTATTTTGACCTGACTATTATGTTTAAGTTCTGCTTCATGGGAAATGTTTTCTGGCAAGAAAACTTAAGGAAGTCCATCAGTAATATCTCTCCAATAAAATCTGAAACGAATCTGATTGTGTCACATAGTTGATGAGTATTAGGAGGGCAAATGTGTATATCGGTGGCGTAAGTGCAAAACTAAGTATCTCTGTTTGCAGTGTTGTAGACTTCCAGTAGACTCCAGAATTATTTTTCCTTAAAAAACTAGTCAACGTAATTTCTTGAAAAGTTCCTCGATCTTTCTTTTCTGTCAGTAAAATATTCTGTTTAAACAAGCTACATATAAAGTTGACTTGTTTCCGTTAAAAAAAAATAAACTAGTGGTGGAGATTTTAAAACAGCGCAATGGAGATGTGTGGTGTTGCACTTCAGCTATCGATTTGTACTCTCTCTTGAAACATTTTAATTTAAAAAAAGGAAATAACGAAAATACTTAAATTATTCCAATCATCTTGTATGTATGTGTTCCTCAGGTGGGTCGCTTAGGGGAGGAATTTAAATTTCAATATTTTATTGAATATTTTGCTATGGGTCATGAATTGCTGCCCTTGATAAAATCCAAATCTGCAGTAAATCAGTTTAATTTTAGCATGTGCTCATCATTTTATGTTGCAAGCATAATTGAGGGGCTTGGAGTACAAGGTGCATAAGTGCAGTTTTTCCTGTTTTGAGAAATAGGTGTTCGAAGTTACAAAATTACATGTATCTCTATGGTGGATAGAAAGTTCAGTTTACAAAGAGTTTGGGAGCGAATTTTTCACATAATAAGCATTAAGACTAGTTTTACTTGAAATCATTAATATCTCAATTTTTTCAAAAACTGCTTTTATGCACCTTGTCCTCTAAGCCCCTCAATTGTTAAACTTACAATGCTGGTCGACTAAGAAGGTGGGGGAAAAAATTGCCACAAACCCTCTTTTAAAGTGTTAGATTTTTTTAAGAAAATCTTTATCCTTTTGCAGTTGAGAGTTCTGTTCAGTAATATGATTGGATTTGTTTGGATTCTGTTCCTGTCACATCAGCGGAAACAATCTCAAGAGAAAACACCACGGATTAGAAATTAACAGTAAATGTTCAGTGTAGGAAATTTTATCATTTTCATTTAAGGGGGGACTACGGTAATTCATGATTTACTAAATTATTACTATCCATATTATTTCATAGTTGTTATCATTGTTGGCAAACCATTATTATACTTTTATATGTACATGAATATATTTTTGCTATCGGACAATAATTTTCTTTTTTCTGTTCATTATTTTTCTTATTTTTGTACTTTATTTTCATAATCTCACACCCAAAATAGAAAAAAAAGTTGCTGTCACAAATTAGCATGCAGTGTGCATTAGCAAGACAAAGAGAAATTGGACAAAGTCTTGAAATGAATCTATAGCTAAAATAGTAGCTATTTGTTCACAGGTATGTACTAATATTAACAATTTTATGATGAAAATAATCATTGTATATCTTCTACAGAATTTCCTAATCATGAAAATTAAGGATTATCCCATTCATCCTCGTGCCACGTTTTGGATTCGTTGCCTCATGTGTATCCTTGCTAGGTTTTATGCAAGTTGCAGGAAATTAATTTGATATTGAAGGATGTCATTTTTCCAAGTTTGAGTGAATTATCTTCGGAATGTAGTTCACTTAAAAGCTGATGAAACACTTCAAGGCTTTGATAGATGATCAAATTCCTGAACCATCTTCCATCCAAGTATCAAGAGTTATCAGTTTTAAAATCGTTACTTCGTATTCTTTTCAAAAGAAAACTTTGTAGAAATATGTCCTTAGCGGCAAGAGATGATGAATGGTGGCGTCGATTTTGATGAAAAAAGAATGTCTCATGGTGACCAAAAATAATCAAAATTGTCTATTTTGATCGAAATTCTCTCTGAATTTGATCGTCTATTGAAGCTGCAATAAATAAACAAAAAGAAGCTCCTGTGTTTAGGTTCCGATATGTCATGCTTCCTGATTCCAAAGAGACATTGTCTTTAAGTAAATTAAGCGTTTAGGGAAAATCTACCAAGAAGACTCAAGATTTCTGGATGTATCAGCTGGTCGCCAGATTCACTCTCTGATTGCATGCGAAAGTTACAGCGTCATATGATCATTCACCGGAAGTATTCGGAATTTTCAGTTACATCAACTGATCGCCGGAAACACGGTCTGATTGCGCGCCCAAGTATGTTACGGCGTCAAGTGATTATTTACTGGGAGTAACCGGCATTTCCACTTACATCGCCGGAAACATTCGTTGATTGTGCGAGAAAGTTACAGCGGCAGGTGAAAATCAACCAGAATATTCTGCTTTTGCGGTCACTTAGTGAATATAACAAGAAATGCTGAATATGCTTCCGGCAGTCATTAACTTGACACTGTATACTTACCTACGTGCTCAATGAGAAAGGGTATCTGGTGATCAGCTAGCTGATGTAATCAGATGAGCTCAATACTATCGGTAAACTGGGGGCTATGCCCCATGGCCTCTACCCGGCCCAACCCCAAGAAGGCGCTTCCTGCTCTCTTAGGCCCGCGTCGACAAAAGAACGACCCCAAAAAATTAAAAGAATTTCTTACCCGACTCTCATTTTTCCAATCACCTACTGGCCGGGAGGGATTGGAACAATAAGAATCAAATGCAAAAATCGGCATTTATTTCAAACTTCGAGCCAAGACTGAACCGAAACGGAACGGAGCGTTTCGTCGCTTTTGGATATTCCGTAGCAAAGGAGCATGCATTCGATTCACTTACCCTGCTAACAGACCAAGGTTCAACAATTCCCTTTAATTTTTCGCTACTCCTGAAAACCCCGCCATTTTTCATTGGCGGGAATTTTAAGCGGGGTAGGTTAGCCTGGGAAAGTTAGGTTGGTTATCGGCTCTTTAATTAATCAGCGACTCTATGTTAAATGGACAACTTCGTATTAAATTATTATTTTTATTTGATTTTTTTTTTTTTTTTTAAATTTCCGACATTTATAAATTACACGCTGTTTTGTGAAGTAATTATTGAACACTCAACACTAGGCAGGGATCTAGAAATATGTTAAGTCTCAACACTAGAAGAAGTGTAATAATGAAGGTCATATGCACTGCGGACGGCGCGGCCGACGGCGCTTATGGAAGTCTCCCCTTTGCTCTGTCGCCAAGTTCTCTGGCCTACTCTAAAAAAAGAAAAAAAAAAACTGGGTCCTATTCTCAAATTTTGGTTATAGGGGGCTCATCTAGGGACTATCACCTGTCGACAACCGCAAAAATCATGAGAATCGGCCCAGTAGAACGTTCAAACAAACTGTAACCAAAAATAAAAATTTACATTGTTTAAATGAGAGAATTCGCAACTTTACTACGTACTTAATATAAAAAAAACCTGGGTCTTATTTTTAAAATACGAATACAGCGCGGGCTCATCTGAAGACAATTGCCTGCCGCTAGCCGTAAAAACCATGAAAAACGGCCCGGTAGAACGCTGGGACTAAGCGTTACTTTACCAAATAAGCAAATTCGCGCGAACAGCCAATGTACCGAGCCGGAAATGCCGTAGGTATGTGCCACCGGTAAATATTCACTTGACGCTGTAACTGGTAAATATTCACTTGACACTGTAACTTTACGCAAAAAATGTGTGATAGGTAGGTACACGTTGTCCTGCCTACCTATTTTGAAATGTGGAGTCCGAAAATTGCTTTGCTCATCCCTATGATATGCTGTCATGTCTCGGCAAATTTAATTTCCGCGGAGGGTATTCTTTTTAGGAGACTCGGCTTTTCGGAAAATAGGCCAGTCTAGAAAGAAGACTGAGGTCACTTTCCGACTCAGCATATCACAATACACACAGAAAAATTTGAATCACGTGTCTACATAATTCTTTGATTGTAGGGAAATGGGCTATGATTATGCTATTCGTCCGGAAAACCACCTTTTAAGATGCAGCGGGGAGTATTTTGTGGACATAGGAAGTAGGATGCATGATTTTCAAGAATCTTTGAACTCTGAGTGCAAGAACAATTTCAGTTTCTTTGTCTCTTAGCGTTCGCGAGTTGCTGGGAATATTGTGCTTTCCTCGGAGAAGCTTGTTTTTGACGAAAATCGCGACGAATTTATGGCAAATAGGCCTGTTGCGCCCTTTTTTTCTTGCTTTAATCGAAGGAACCAAGGCTCCTGGGTGTCACAGGATACCGTATACAGGGTTTTCTCAAAAGTTACGCACCACTGACCATAGCTTCAGTTCTAATTACGATATCGACTTGCGGTTTGTGGCGTCCTTCCTCATATCGAGGGGGAAACTTTTTAAGGTACTTTCCTGTTCTTAATCTCCCGGGGGGGGGGGAACTCAAAAATTTCAAATGGCAACCCCCATCATGTGATACACCGTCAGAAAGAGCATGAAAAAAGAAAATTTTTGGCGCAAACCGGAAGTCGATCCGACCCCCCTATCAAAAGTTAGGGGGGTCCAAAGGTTATTTAGGGGGTCCGTATCTTTATTTTTTAGAGAAGGTTCAGCGGCTCTTGGACATACCGTTTCTCTTTTTAAAGAGCCCTCGAAAACTCCATGTCTGATACTGAAGTCTTCATTTTGGGGGGCAGCGGGAATTTTATGGATTTTTCCGTCCCTAAAGTGGGTTAGGTGGCAGTCCCTGTACTAGGGTCCTCCGACTTGTCGCAACGTTTCAAGGGTCCTCGTCAAGTTGGACATTAGTTTTGGGCATTATTTCTATCAATTTTCCCGGTCTTTACCAGCACTGCAACCAAAAATGAGGGGGGCAGGGGGCTAAGAAATTTGTTAACTCTCTTTGAATGCACAGGCTGCGTCCGCGTTAAAATTGGCATGAACTTGCACTCGGACTTGATGCTAAGTTTGAAGGTCTTTTGTGACTTTTTGCATTTTAATGACATTTTTCATTGTAACAAACCCAACCCCCCCTCCCCTAGGGGGGCTGTGGTGGCCCGGGGGCAAAATGGAGACTTCGGTATCAGACGTGGAGTTTTCGAGGGCTCTTTGAAAAGAGAAACAGTAAGTCCAAGAGCCGCCGAACCTACTCTAAAAATCGAAAGGACGGACTCCCTAAGTAACCTTTGGACCCCCCTAACTTTTGATAGGGGGGTCGGATCGACTTTCGCTTTGCGCCAAAAATTTTCTTTTTTTATGCTCTTCCTAACGATGTATCACATGATGGGGGTTGCCATTTGAAATTTTTGAGTTGCACCCCGCCCCCCTCCCCCTTGGAGGATTATGAACTGAAAAGTACCTCAAAAAGTTTCCCTTCGATATGAGAAAGGACGCCACAAACCGCAAGTCGATATCGTAATTAGAACTGAAGTTATGGTCAGTGGTGCGTAACTTTTGAATAAGTTATGTACAGTGCTGGTGCGTCCTAAGCGTATTGCAAAGCTCCAGACCAGAAAGGATTTTACTTTTATGTAATTTCTCAATTGAAGTACGCCTCCCGCGGCTAAAGCTGTGTTTAGCTGGGCTCCAGCCTTGCCCCCCCCCCCTTTTTTTTTCATTGAGATTCATTATCACGGACGTGCCTGGTAGAAATGAAACGTAAAGTGCCTTCCGAATCGATGTCCTGCAGGTGATCATAGTACAAGAATAGGGTTATAACGTTAATGTATTCTGTGACTTCAGGGGATCTCCGCGGAAGATCTCCTTATCAAGGTATTAGATACCTATTCAAATATTAGCATTAGCTAATAATTCCAAGTTTCTAACAACCTTCTTTCCTCAACTTTGCTTAAATATTATTCATGCAGTCGTTTCCGTTGAACATTCGTAGATTCATACAATCTTATTTCAATATTGAGACAACCTTCTCAGGATGTCAATAAAACATCTCTCCTAAAAATGACGAGTAGGCTATTCAGAAGTCGCCAACTCACATGAGTAGAACTTCCTACTGATTTGAGTAGAAATCCTACTCATATGAGAAGAAATTCTACTCATATCACCAGAATATTCTACTCATTAAAGTGGAAAAGTTCAACTCATTTGAATTGAATTTTTCAGAAGTGCTGTTTCTGACCAGGAGACACCGACTTGTAAAGAGAGTTATGCAAAAACAGCTTTTTTCGCCCCCCCCCTCTCTGGAATTTCTTCAGACTTTGCCTATTGATTACTCATTCTTGAGCGCTTCTTTTTCCAAATTTTCATACCCCCAAAATTTTTGGGAGGGAGCTAGGGGGGTGGAAGTCAAAACCTGTGAACCTCGATATCTCTCGAACGAAGAAAGATATCGAGGTCCGGTT